GTCTCACTATTCTTTCCAAGGTAACTAAGGAATTTAGATCAGAAGTATAATTCATTTGTTCCAAGACCATGGCACAGTTTTCCATCTTAATAGCCAAATTTGATAGTTGGTCCCCGTCAATATACTCAAAATTCACAGCACTGAATAAGTCCTCTAGTGTTTCTCGAGCAATTACGTGAGGCTGTCCGAAAAAACGTTTTAAAATCTCCCTTGCTCTTTTATAGCCAGAGGATGCCTCCATCATGACGCAACCTTCAATAGCTGTTTTAGCCTTGCCCTTACAGTAGTGTATCAAATAGAGTAAGCGCTGGCTATCATCCGTGACTCTTGACGCTACATACGTCTCAAATTGCCTTATAAATTTCCAATAACCTCTTGGCTCTCCATCGAAATAACTCAGTTCAACCTTTGGTAGCTCTGGGCCAACAACATGGACTATAGGCGACATGCTCTTTCCTAGTAATTCAGGCCTTTGCTCCTCCCTTAAACTAAGATTTTTTACATCAACTGACATCGAATTAAGGCTAGAATCACAGCCATGATAATTAACCCTATTTAAGTCTGAACCATGACCCTTAAGGACGTCAAAAGGCACTTGCTTGACAATAGGGGATTCTTCGTTAACATCGACGAACTTTGAGCCTGATCTCCTTCGACGATTAACTGGCATTATAAGCGACACGACCAATTATTTCCAGAAAATCCGTGAACGATTACCAAAGGATTTCGACCAAGTAATACTTGTTTAGAACTGTAGGATCCAAACTACGGTTTGGATGTTGAAGAATAGCCGACCGGGGATTTTTAGACACGCGCCCTTTCCCGTCAAAATCAGAACAAGTAATCGGGTAACTAGCGGTTCTATAATTCATAATAAATTTAATGTAAATCATTACCTAAACAAATATTATCACCCGGCTATTCAACCAATGATTGTTCAATCAATTAAATCTAAATTACAACAAATAAAGAAGTTGATAGAAGATGAGGAAAAATTACCAATCACAACAAATCAACGTTATTCTATCCTGGCTGGATAGATCACACACAACAGGAGGAACAAATCAATATGGCTACCGCCAAGAACAAGTGTCAAGTAAAACAACGCAGATGCAGTTCAGGAAGAAACACAAACTTAGTGAATGCGTAATAAAAACAAAAACTATAACAAAAATACAAATATTAACAATTCAAATGTAATCAAAATACAACAATGTACAACTAATGCTATCAATAGGAATAAAGTACAAGTATATACATGGAGGGATTTTCACCAACACATAAAACCTTCAAAATGGATCTTACACCGACAATGATTCACAAATGTATAAACCCTCAATTGGCGAATTAATAGTAAACAGTCATCGTGCTACCGATCGGTTTCCTGTAACACAACAGAGTCATGATCACACAATATCATATCATTATTCTCAAGCTTACTGCTTTCTCTTTGTAGTTTTCCAACACCTCCGTAGCATATCGATAATACAGTAATTATACCCACAATGAAGGACTTTGATGGGTTCTTTGTATACTATTTCGATAGGTCGTCGTAATAAGTCATGACGTACAAAAATATTCATGCAGTGTCGTAAGGCGGGTTGAACGAAGACATCAATGGACTGCGGTCGAATGAAAACAGGCTTAAGTGAACACATAGCGCTTGTAAGCCTGTTTGTATAAAAGTTTAGATCCACATTCACTGAAGAAAATCAAGGATCCATGAATTCTCCGGGAAGTCGGGGTGTCGTTCTGTAAACGAGTTGTGCAACAATGTGTCTAACGTCAGATTTCACTGTATTGCGAGTACCGATTAACACAAGTGGAAGAGCGTCGGCTCAATTTGAAACGTTTGCAGGTGAAGATGAAGCGTTTACCTGTCGGTTAGATCGTTCTACCAACCCGTTTGCTTGTGGAATGTAGGCGGTCGTTCGGAATAGTGGGATTCTCAGTAGTGTGGAGAGACAGCAGTAAATTTTAAGTTCGAACTGGCATCCATGGTCTATAGTGATGGTTGAATGGCATTAAGAGCCTCTAGCCATTGTTCGACGAAGACACGGGCCATTGTTTTAGTAATAATATAATTGATGAGTAATATTAGTGGCCGTCGTGTGAAACATTCTACATGCGTTAATAGGTAAAAGTGTCCATTTGAACCAAAAAGGGTCAAATCAAATCCAGATGAACATGGTCAAACGAGCATCGGGAGTTTTGAAAGAGCCTATAAAACATCTTTTGTGTGAGAAAGTATGTGCAAAAAAATGAAGACATCGTGTTAATAATGGTCCGGCATTTTTGGACGATCCATACTTGTAATTGTGCCACATAGTAATGTTTCTTTACCGGTTACCATTTTCTTGATTCTTAGTTTCAGGGTTTTCGAGGATAACTCGTAATGAGGATCAGTGCCTTCTTTTTGGGGCTGGGTGAGTCTAGGAGTGTAAACTCCTTGTAAACTGTTCAGGGAAGTTATACGAGACAAGGCATCGGCAACTACATTGTTTACCCCAAATGTGTTGTATATTTGAAGTAAACTGAGAATTGTGATCCAGTTGCCGAGACACTCGAGGAGAGTGCTTGTCTGAAGACGATGTTAAAAAGAAAGCAAGAGGTTTGTTCGTCTGCAGAGCTATAATGTCAGGTCAGAATGGCATTGTCTGAAATATGGGATGAGGGTGAAAGAAGTCTTATCTTAAGTAAGTTACGTATATGGGTGAGAATAATTAACTGAAAATATATTAACAATGTGAAGATAAGAGAAAGTAAAGACGGAAAAGATATATAATGCTCAAACAACAAAAAGACACACACTTTACAATTCGCTGTACCAGACAATGAGTTTCTCACCACAAAAGCTGCAACAGCTTTTTGGAGTTTGACAATACATTTACACGTAACACCTTTAAAATACAAGCGTGATGACCCAGTAAAATCAGAAGTTAGAAATGTGGGGGTTGTTAGATAAATTTTAAGGGTTATGGATGAATCGTAAAAAAGGTTAAATCTAAGTTGACTAAAGGTTGAAGGGGACGCGCAGCAAGGAGTACACACTAGTAAATTGATGCGAATGTTTGACCGGCGAATTGAACTAGATATGTCCATTAGAATTAAGACATCAGCAAGAAAGTCTAAAACAAATGTAGGTACTATTTCTGAGAATTATTTACCGAGACGAAATAATTCACATGGTACTAAAATATTAGAAGACCGTGAAAGTTGATTCACTCCTAATGATCAAAATTTACCCATAGATGTGGCCCACATTTGCCTCAGTAATGCTCTTGACAAACGCCCTCAAAACCACTTGCCGTCTATGTCAAGTGATATTGCGTTTGAAGGCAACTTACTTGTGTAGTCAAAGGACTGTATAATTATGGTCTACTATGATATTAGTACTGCTCTAATAATAGACCTAATCCTAAAATTGTACGTTTTTCATGATGTAACTGCATAATCTATAAGATCTTACGTGAAAGTCACATTATTATCCACACCAACACCTCGCGTCGTAACAACCACCAATATATGGTGGAGAAGACACTTACGCTAGAGATAGAGCAATACATTTAAATATGAATAAAAGGTGTATGAAAACATTAAAGGATAGCCAAGACTTTAAGGCCGAGCCATGCAAACCGATCAATGCGAAATATTTCAACTCCTATTTCCAGCATTCTCCATCGTTGAGCTTTTCTTCGCGTTAAGTATTAAATATCTACTTTGCCAGTTGTCTCGTGTTCAGCTTTGAGGATTGTGTGGTCATAGCAGAATGCCAATACAGGACTTCAGAGTTGGGTGTCAAAAAACCGTAGAGGTGAGGCACATGTCTAGCCAGGGCTTCAGAGTACGGTTTTGAGGACAGTATTCTTACTCCTGTGAGTAAATGACCTTCCTAGTCTCCTACCACCATCGGTTTATTTACATGCCAACGATGTCAAAACAATGGAGAGCGATAAAAAGTGAAGGTTATAGGTTACAGGTTTAAACTGAACTGGAGAAATTGTCTGCATGGTATAAAACTTGGCAGTTGCCAATAAGTGTTTCCAAGTACATTTTGATGCCTATTGGTCACCAAGGTACGGACACATGAATGGTGAATAAGTGAGCTACCTGTTTTCCAGATGCACAATGACCCAGGTGTTGTCGTTAGTTAAGACTCGAAAACTACTGGATACTGCTGTGCAATAGCCACCAAAGGCTTTGGAACCCTATGGTCAATACGTAGAGCCTTTAGTCATGTCGATGTTGAAACGTTTTCAACTCTGTATACAATGTTTACTGAACCTAAACTCAAGTACTCCATACAAGTGGCTTACCCCTACCTAAGAGGAGATATTGACCTTTTGGGATAGGTTCAAAGAGTCGCAGGTAGACTGGTCCCTGGAATCATTAAGCTGCCGTATGATGTTCGACTGGTTAGACTAAACCTATGTCCCTTGTTATATGGAAGAACAAGAGGTGACTTAATCCCATCAGTCTTCAGTAATAAGGATAGGAGATCTGTCGACCTATATTAATCCTTGCAGTTTGTAATACTGTGGAGGTCCAATCTCGTTTTGAATATATTAATAGACGGTGCTGATATTACGTGTTCCGGTAGAGAATTCCAGTAATTCACTACTCGGTGCGAGAAACGGAACTCCAGACGTAAACGGTTTGATCTCGGTTTTTGAACTTTCTTCGAATGTCCTCTCAAATGATCGGTTCTAGACGGAAGCAAAAGATAAGACATGTTAATACCAAGGTCATCGTTCAGTATGCGATAAGCCAATATTAGATCACCCCGTATCGAATCATCAGCGAATGGGACGCGTTACCTGAGTACGTGATTGAAACTTCATCTGTCGACGCTTTCGTAAGAAAGTTGGATCAACTGAGAAACCATTATTTCCAGGACTAAGATAAGCCAAACAGCATCCTGAAACTGTGATTAAACATTTAAGTTACCTAGTCTCATTAGCACGTTTTACAAACTAATGCGTTACTGCCGATAAGTATTTAGTGGTCGTGGTTTCATGAACATGGTTTTGGGTGTGCCTGTAAGTACATTGAAATATTTTTCTTCGCTCATCCCTATTTATCCAATATTCTACTTTAATAACGAACGGGTTTATTCATAACCTTTGTCATATTCCAATTCTAATATCAGGAGATTAATTAAACCCTTCCTATAAATATCTTGAACGCTAATCTACTTACCGATTGTTGTCAGCACTTAAAACACAGCCCAGTAAATCTGTGGTTCTGAGGTTCCTTCTATGTAGGACTGATCATTAGAGAGGAGATTCGAAGGAAAATCAAAAACTGATATCAAATCGTCTTCATTTGGAGTTTCGCTTCTCGCACCCAGTAGTGAATTACTGAAGTTCTCTACCAGAAAACGTAATATCAGCACTTTCTGTCGATACATTCAAAATGAGATTAGATCTCCACAGTGCTACAAACTGAAGGTCGCTAGACCTCCTACCCTTCTTACTGAAGACTGAATTGTTTTGTTGGCCTTATCTATAATCAGTAGGACATAAGCAGGCTGCTATGTTACTAAGTTTTTAGTTGTCTCACCTCTGTTTTAGACTTCGCATTACTACTTATCCACCCTGTTCAACGTTTCGCTTTTCAGAACTAGGAACAAGTAGCTAGTCACGTGTATGAAGAAAATCTGCGTTAACAAAGGGTCATGTTTTATTTTGGTGGCTGTAAATCATATTGTCTTGACATGATCAGAACACCCAATTTTTGTTAACTATTAGTCATTTGTTTGGCTCGTTACCTTAATTTATATTCAGGTTTGGGAAAGGACAATACTGAGTGGTTTATGTTAGTCCTGGAAATAATGTTCTCTCAGTTGATCCAACTTTCTTACGAAAGCGTCGACAGATGAAGCTCCAATCACGTAGTGAGGTAACGCGTCCCATTCGTTGATAATTGGTTGGGCATACGTAACACATGGCTGGGACACGTCACGTATGCTCAACCACCGACTGTCCCGACGTGCAATGTTTTCTGGCGCAGGAATAGGTTGGAAGAAAGTTAGGGGCGGCCAGACCAAAACATGGCACAAATCCATCAAGTCACTGACAAGTGGACTGAGCCATGTTGGTGGGTGCGGACTAACTGGCTTAGATCCGCGAGACGATAGCAACCGGTGGTTAGAGACCTTGAATGACATGGCTTAAAATGATTTGCAATCGCTCAGGTGCGTCCACTCTTTGTGTTCTCCCAAATTCTAATCTTCTGAATTCTTCGTGTCCCTTTTTTTTCCCTTTCCAAATTTATTTCACTGGATTATATTCCTTGAATAACATCTTCAAACCCTAGTGTTTCCGATTACTCCTTATACTCTTACTACCTCTACCACTATGGGATTTGAATGGACAATTGTATATGTATGCTAATGTGGTATAGCAACTCGAACTGATATACGTACGTACGCAGTTCTGCGTTGTTACTGACTGACTGACTTCGCTGATGATTCGATGGGATTAAGTCACCTCTTGTTCTTCCATATAACAAGGGACATAGGTTTAGTCTAACCAGTCGAACATCATACGGCAGCTTAATGATTCCAGGGACCAGTCTACCTGCGACTCTTTGAACCTATCCCAAAAGGTCAATATCTCCTCTTAGGTAGGGGTAAGCCACTTGTATGGAGTACTTGAGTTTAGGTTCAGTAAACATTGTATACAGAGTTGAAAACGTTTCAACATCGACATGACTAAAGGCTCTACGTATTGACCATAGGGTTCCAAAGCCTTTGGTGGCTATTGCACAGCAGTATCCAGTAGTTTTCGAGTCTTAACTAACGACAACACCTGGGTCATTGTGCATCTGGAAAACAGGTAGCTCACTTATTCACCATTCATGTGTCCGTACCTTGGTGACCAATAGGCATCAAAATGTACTTGGAAACACTTATTGGCAACTGCCAAGTTTTATACCATTCAGACAATTTCTCCAGTTCAGTTTAAACCTGTAACCTATAACCTTCACTTTTTATCGCTCTCCATTGTTTTGACATCGTTGGCATGTAAATAAACCGATGGTGGTAGGAGACTAGGAAGGTCATTTACTCACAGGAGTAAGAATACTGTCCTCAAAACCGTACTCTGAAGCCCTGGCTAGACATGTGCCTCACCTCTACGGTTTTTTGACACCCATCTATGAAGTCCTTTAAATACACAAGTAAGTTGCCTCCAATCGCGATATCAATGGGCATAGATGGCATATAGTTTTGTAGGCGTTTTTCAAGGGGCTTTTCGGGGTCAATTTAGGCTACATCTATAGGTAAATTCAGATTATTAAGAGTGCATCAAGTTTTACGGGGTAATAACAAGTTAGTGAGACGTAACTAACCTTTTCAAAGGCTATTTTGATTCTCGGAAAGAATTTGGTTTTCGTCTTTATGTTTAAAAACTCGATTCTAAACAATCTTTTCAAAAACTTTCGCAACCACTCTATTTTGGCTTACGGGTCGATATTTCTTAAATTTGTCTCGTACCTACTTTGAAGACAGGCCTTACTGTTGCATTCCTCCAGTGTTTTTGTAATCTACTTTGGATTATAGATAGGTGAAAGCATATACTTAGGAAATGTAGGGTAAAATTCGCTAGTTCTTTTGGTAGTTTGAGGATACCCGAGCTTTATCATAATCGTATTCCACTAATGAAGTATTACTACTGTCTCCCCATAATGATTGGATATCGCATGTTCTCTTGGCCGTTTGGTTTATGTACGAGTAAGAGCGTTTAGGGTATTCTGTAGATTATTTGATAAGTTTTTGTTCAGGCAATCATCTAGACTTTAGGAGCATCGAGGCACAAATATTTCGAGCTTTTCGATATTGAGGTTCTGTCTCATCAGTATCCAGTAACCTAAATCTCCCACACTTCTTCCTCTTACGGAGTAGGGTGAGAACCTCATTACCGAAGCACGGTGGGACTCGTTGTGAAAACATTTGGAGTTCATCTATCCCCACATCATCGGTAATTGAAGAAAGTTGTGTCACTGTGCAATGTATTCTGGCTACTACGTAACTTTGTTAGGACTGTTTTTATAATTATGTGAAATGAACGTATGCTTTGTTACTGAGACCAATTTACGCGACTCGTGTTGTATTGTTTAACGATTTCTGATGATCCTGGTAAACTGACATGAGTTCCTGTTCAAGTTTCTGTAGAGTGAATAACAAGCTTTTATCATAGTAATTGCGGTGTTTAAGATTGTATTTGTAAGAATATGGTGCACTGGATTGGATTTTATTTGCTATCTGAATGTTACGTAAATTAATAATCCTGTACAAATTTGTAAAATCATGGGATTATGCTGTCTCATGTTTATTGTCGTGTAAACTTTCACTGTCTTTAAATAAAATAAAAAATTTGTTGAAATTACGGTCCAAGAAAAAGAAAGTGATCTCTATGTTCTAACAACTATTTGTTCATAAAAAAATTCAACTTTAAAATTATAGAAATGCTCTTTCTTGGTCAACCACTGACGATATTTTGATGGTTTATCTAAGTTCATTGAAAGCTGATCTATTGATCATAGTACGGTAAATGAAAATTTGACCAATTACAAAGCCACTAAATAACATTTTTATGTGGCTAATTTTTATCTAATATGTCTTCCAAAATAAATATCTGGTTTTCCTCGGAGTACTCGACTTCCAATCCTCTCTCTCGTTGTACACTATGAAAAAGTGCAGTTTCCAGTGCTCTTCACTATTCATTTTCATACATACCTTACTAGCTAGAATCGATATACAGTTGGTTCTTTATAAGTCTCATTTAAGTAACAGTTCTCATCCTCTATCATAGAAATAACATAAGGATTTTCGAAAGGTACATCTGATTAACTATTAACTACGAGGATATTTGGGACAGAAATTTATTTGAATTCGGAGACATCTTGGTCTGGTCATGGAGTTGATTCTCCTCTCAACCGTATCTACGTGCTTGACTATTGACTTTCTGATATTACAAAAGTTTTTATAAATACCAGTTATCGTAAGTTTTATCCGCCAAAGGGAATTTGAACGACACTTACAGAATGTGGCTGCAATTAGTTCTACTTGACGACATCAAATCCCAGAAAACTTGTTACTATGTAATAACTCCCACAAATGACCATTTGCTTCAACAGTCAATGGTTTTTTCCTGATAAAGTGTAATTACATCTCAAAAAATAACTGTTATAACTTTATGTCCGGCTTTTTACCACGTGATTTATCCACCAATCAAAATACGACTTATACAATCTTAGTACTGTGCCAAACCAATGACGTTCGACCGGTATGACCAGCCTAGCGTCCTTATTGGTCCTATGCCCGCCTAGCCCGTCCACTTGAGTCCAGAACACCAGCTTCCACTATGCGAATCGAATCGAGTCATTTATTTCAGACATACTGGGTTTATATATCAACCAAACAGACCGCAACGCACCATAAAATAGGAAATAACATTTGTACACAATAAAGCCAAAAAGTGACTGTGAACGTGGGAGGCAGTAGTTAGTAAACTGAACATAGCTTAAGAACCGTGAATCGTACAATAATAAATTATAGGTCAAAATATGGCTTATAACAAGGGGAATATAGATATACATAATTTAGTTCCCGAATATTTATACCATGAGAATATATAGATAATATTAGTTTATTAATAAGTCTCAGACGTTACTCGTGATTTAATCTTCACTAGGATTTAACAATAACATTTGATAAAAAATAGTTAAACACACTTAAGTTTTTCATTCCTGCCAGTCACGTATTTCTTGTGATTTCACTCATAACGTACACAATTTGTTTATAACATTTATTTCTACCATGTAACTAATTATGTGTACTTTTTCAATATCCTCCGAGTTCTTCTTTTTATTCTCTTATAAAGCACAATTTGACACAAAGATATGGACAAGTGGCTGAATCGAAGAATTAACTCTTTTTTCGTTGACTCCTTGCAATCGTGTTCAGTGATCAAAGTTTGAGACGCTTGTACAATTGAAAGATCTCTTCTACAAATACTCAAAGTTACTATTATTCTTTATTTCACTGGAGTTACCGACTGAAATTCTGTCGGCAAATATATCGAACCTTTTACAGATGTTGATCAGGTGTTTCCAATAATATAATGGAGTGCAAAAGACAATCTGAACTGGAACTTCTAGCCAAACTTGAGGAAAAAAATCGGTATTAGTTTAAGATCAATAATTGTTTCTAAGTCCTCAGAGCTCTTTTTTCAGATGCTAAAGTCGTTCCATCTTTACATACTCGTCGACGAGAAGGTTCTTTATCAAGTAGCATTTCCACTGGATCTGGGCAGGATGATACACGAAGTAAGAGCGTTACTGAAGAATCTAGTGTTTATTCCATTTCACATCATTTTTTAACTACCACATTTGTTTGAAATTTGCCCTATTGTTAACTGGCTTTCACTTCCTCTTTAAAGGTTTACATCAGCATTTCTCATATACAATTCATGGTTTCCCTAAAATTCCAATTTTTAGTGTCCTAGTTTAAATGTTGAAGACATTTCATATAATTCAAACGAGATTTTCGATATTTTACGATTTAAGCCAATCACATACTTAACCAGTAATATCTTGAAACTTCATTCGAAATAGTTACCGACTTAAAACCTTGACACCATGTAAACTACGTTGTCAACGGATATTACAAAAGCAGAAGATTAACCGCCAAGAAAATAAACTAAACCTGACAGAAAGAATAGTGTCATTATACGAAATGTCTATCATTCATAGAAGTTTTAATATAATGTACCTTCATTGTTTTTATGGTTTTATAACATTATCTTTTTCACTATGTGTAATGACCGAAATACCAATATTCAGTTTGAACGCAGAACTAGCAAACCAAAGTTTATTCGATTAGTTCAGACTACGTTCTTATGTTAAGCGTACGAAGCGTTTTTGAGTGATTCGTATTAAATTATATCGAAACAAATTCTGTGTTCAATTTTAGCGATTCTAATTTGAAGAAGAAAACACATTGCATCAAAAGTACAAAATGCATCAAAAGGTGCAGCCTGTGCTATACAATGAAGACTTTTTCTAACATAAACTAACGTCCTAAACAACAAAAGGAATAGTCGGCAAATAGGTGTTCTATACGTGAGAATCAGTAAATATATTCTCAAAAAAATGGAATCAGATATCTATCTGCGAGGATTCCAGTAACCTTTCCAAGCTGGCAGTCCAAGGTTAACAGTCACACTGAACCGCGCCGTGACCCTCAGTTCAGTCAAACACGACCTTATTATCAATGGTCCGGCAAAATGAAACAGTTAATTAAACAATCAAAAGTAAATCTTCAATTAAGATCAAATAAAGTTCACGACAATGAAAACTTAAGAATGTAAAGTGTGGTTAAAACGAGACCTAGATAAAGGTTAAAATACAAGATAGGGAAAAGAAACAAATAAATGACAATACTGTCCAGTGAATTTCCAGCGTTTTATTCCCGTTACATTGTGTGTTATTCACAACTTTAGAACTGATTGTTGCTGTCTAGATATAATAGTTTTAGGTAACCTTCATCACTTAGAATATTACCATTACATATGATATTCTGGCATGAGTTTTGAAAACCTGACACAATCACATACAAAAGACCAACAATGGCAAGTTTTAGTAATCTTGATGGTGCTCCTTAACACGCAACACCTAATTAAAAAAATCAAGGGAAGTTCAGTGAGGTTACTACAGGTTCAATCGTATAATAGTGTCTGCGGCATAAGTATATGTATATGTAGTTGTAGGAGGTAGAGGACATCAACTTAGTCTACAAATCTGTAATTTCTTTCTGAGTTAAAGTATTTTCTGATTTACTCTATATAAACGGTGTGACTTAAATTATAGTATTTGTTTTGTCCACTTATATTAGGCAATGGAACATCTTCGCTGCAGCTTAATGGTCATGCAACACATGGGTCGTCGAAATCGAGTAACACTTCTGGAGTCTCGATTCCTTTAATGATTGGTTGGACTGCTGGAGCACCAATTAGCAGTTCTATTCGTGAACAGTGGGACTACGTAATAAATAATTGGGATCAATGTTCGAAAAAGAAATCCTATGTTTCTGTAGGTTGTTAGAAACACCATTTTTTCCTAAGAAAGATGTTTTCAAATTCTTATTCACCGTCATCTTTAATGCGTTGTGATGAGTCATTATAATTGTTCTGAATGAATAGTTTTAAAGCAACTAGATATTTTTGTGTCAGAAGTGCCCCTAAAATTATTCATTATTGAGATTTTATCAGTCAAATATAGGTTAATGTACTCAACTCCCAGTCACACTGTTTTTTGAAGTATAAAGTGATACGACTCGGTTACCACTCTAATCGAGATAGACGGAGTAGGGTTTAGAATTGGTTGTTGGAAGTCAGTTGCCTTAACCACTTAGTCATCATGCTTTCGGTGACTGAATGTGAGCTTGTCTTCAACGTGATATGGTCGCTGACTGAGACAATGTTTCTGTCTGTTAACTCAGTCAGTTCCGCAGATATTTAGCCAGGAAATGTACATGAATATTCACGTATTTTAGGTTATAGAAGCGGCAGACATTTCTTGGGTGTTTGTAACAGATGTTTCTACGGTAGTTCTTGTGGTTAAAGTTGAGTGCTAAAATTTAGTGACTGTATTACGGAACACAGTCCAACAATACCGTTTCTGTACTAATGTCAAAAAATGGGGATATACTTACTTACACCTGTGGAGCATAGGTCTCCGACCAACTTTGTCCTGAGCTCTCCTCAGCCGTTACCAAGTGCTATTTACTCTTTTGACGTCTGCCTCTGATTCCCAGCGCAACGTGTTTCGTCTACCTCTTTTCGTTTTGCATTCAGGATTCCAACTTTTGCTCACTCATAACTCTCATTCTATATAAGATTAAACTCATGATTGTCAGATCTCTTGCCGCCAGTGTGTGCTATTCACATATTTTAAGCTCGAAGAAAACATTTACCTAATCCTCTTTCGCCTTTTAAATACTTCATTATGACGATATCAGTCATCGACGTGAACTGACCTGAAATTTTAATAAGTCTATCGCTTATTGAGATGATATTTTAATATGTTATCCATGTTTACGTAATTTTAATCAAATTGTTAATGTGTTGAAAAAATATTTATTTTATTAGGATCTTATTAAAAAAGGTGTTCCTGATGAATTTCGTCCATTAATTTGGCAACTATACTGTGGAGCTTATGATTCAGCTGTTAAAAAACATTATCATAATTATTTGTTAGTTAATTCACCGGTTGAAAAAGCTATCCGACGTGATATTGCACGTACATTTCCTAAACATGATTTATTTAAAGATGAAGTGAGTTATTTCACTTATAATTTAAATATCTTTATTTGAAAAGAAAGTGATTTATTTCATTTCACCATTACTTACTTACTTACACCTGTTACTCCTCGTCAAGGAGCATACGCCGCTCACCAACATTCTCCATCCAACTCTGTCCTCAGCAATCCTTTTCAACTCCAGTTGTTATTCATCCTGTTCATATCTGCTTCTATTATCCGACGTAATGTGTTCTTTGGCCTTCCTCTTTTCCGCTCCCCTTCAGGATTCCAAGTTAGGGCTTGTCTCGTGATACAGTTTGACTATTTGCGTAATGTATGTCCTATCCATTGCCATCGTCTTTTCCTAATTTCTTCTTCAGCTGGAAGTTGGTTTGTTCTCTCCCACAAAAGGCTGTTGCTGATGGTATCCGGCCAATAGATGTTGAGTATCTTGCGTAGACAGCTATTTATAAATACTTGTATCTTCTTGATGGTGGTTGTTGTAGTTCTCCAAGTTTCAGCTCCATACAGTAGAACTGCCTTGACGTTCGTATTGAAGATTGTGACTTTGATATTGGTTGAAAGTTGTTTTGAGTTCCATATGTTCGTTCAATTGTAGGAATGCGACCCTTAATTTGCCGATCCTCGCCTTTACGTCTGCATCTGATCCCCCTTGTTAATCGATGATGCTTCCCAGGTATGTGAAGGATTCTTCATCTTCCAGAGTTTCGCCATCAAGAGTGATTGGATTGCTGTTCTCCGTGTTGCACTTGAGGACCATGGTTTTCTCCTTGTATATGTTGAGGCCTACTGATGTAGAGGCTGCTGCTACACGAGTTGTCTTCATCTGCATTAGTTAGTGTGTATACGATAGGAGGACTAGGTCATATGCGAAGTCCAAATAATCTAAACGGTTCTGAGCCGTCCATTGTATTCCGTGTTTTCCCTCAGATGTCGAGGTCTTCATAATCCAGTCGACCACCAGAAGAAAGAGGAAGGGAGAGAGTAAACAGCCTTGTCTGACTCCGGTCCTTACTAGGAGTGTATCTGTCAGCTGTCCTCCATGCACGACCTTACACTGTAGTCCGTCCTATGAGTTCCGGATAATATTAACAATCTTCTCAGGAACTCCGTAGTGTCGAAGAAGTCTCCATAACGTCCTATCTACACTGTTAAGTGCCTTTTCATAATCAGTGAAGTTGATGTCTAGTGACGAGTTCCACTCAACTGATTGTTCGACGATGATCCGTAGTGTTTCAATTTGGTCTGTGTACGATCGATCCTTACGGAATCCAGCCCTTTGATCTAGAAGTTGGGCGTCTACTGCATCCTTCATCTGGTTCAGCCATTTCAGCATTGCACATTATTTATGTAGGAGTTATTTTCGTTAAATTCAATATTCTGTTGGTATATTGTGGAATTGTCTAATATATTTTAGATATGTACTTACATACTTCACTTTCAGCAATTAAAGTGCGCTGTATCTCTGACTAGTAACATCATTAGGCTTCGTATAATAAGTTTGACTTAGGAGATTTATACATTAACGCATTGAATACAACAATGTCCAGTAGTTTTCGAATCTTGACTAACGACAACTTCTGGGTCATTGTGCGTCTGTATCCGTACCTTAATGACCAATAAGCATCATAATGCACTTGGAAACATTTATCGGCAACTGCTAAATTGTATACCATTCAGACAATTTCTCCAGTTCAGTTTGAAGCTGGAAACTATTACCTCCACTCTCCATTGTTTTGACATCGTTGGCATGTAAATAAACCGATGGTGATAGGAGACTAGAAAGGTCATTTACATACAGGAGGAAGAACACCGTCCCCAAAACTGTACCATAAAGCACTCCGCGAAGTACAATTCCCCATCTAGATAACATGTACTTCACCCGTACTGTTTGTTGACACCCAACTGTGAAGTCGTTTGAGATGGTGGAGAAATCGATCCAATTTATCAACCAATCAGGAAAATTATGCACAAACATAGGAACAAAAATCAATTATTTATTTGAACACATAAATATTATTACAAGAGGGCACCAATTATGTATGCGCCACACAAAACAACGAGAATTCGAAGAGAAAAAAAGAACAGTGACGAAGATATTAGTGTAAGGTAGTGTGGCAATAATAATAGTAATAATGAGGGAACGGAAAGGTACAATCACAAGAAATTTTTCAGTTAAGGAAGATACAACCACTTTTTATGAAGAAAGTAAGAGAAGGTTACAGCAGGATCGCCACTGGCTTCTATTCTGAGCCATATCTGATAACTTCTCTAGCCACTGTGTCGCACCATCTCTCGGACCCCAACCAAGGAGTTGTGAAGGACCAACAGAAGCCAGTCCTTTGCAGATTTCTTTCATACCCCGACACCATGTCATGCACTGACCACCTCTCCGCTTCTTCCAACCAGTCCCAGAGTCGGCAAATAATGCACAACGTGGAATTCTCTAGGACGACATTCGTAGAACATGTTCAAGCCACCGAAGTCGATGTTTCAAGATGCTGACTCCAATTGCATTATCATCTCTGTGCCCGAACACACGATACCGAACCTCTGCATTACTAATATGGTGTTGCCACTGGATGTCAGCAATCCTTCGGAGACAGCGATGATCGAACACAGAGAGTCGTCTAACATCTTCAACTTGGAGAGCTCAGGTTTCACAAGTATAGAGTAGAACTGCTCTCATCGACGCGTTGTAGATCCGACCTTTTACAGCCAGTCTAACATCACGAAGGCGCCAAATGTGGCCCAGATTGGCATAAGTCGCTCTGGCTTTCACTATTCGTGCATTGATCTCATCACTCACACCCCCACCAGCACTTATGCAGCTACTCAGATACACGAACTTCTCGACTACTTTTATCTGCTCACCATCCAGGGTGAGTACAGGATTGGAATCCTGCCAGTCTTGTAGAAGTACTTTGCACTTCGAAGGTGCAAAGCACATACCATACCTACGGACATTGATTACCAACTGATTAATTGCGGATTGCGTGGCTTGGGTATTATCGCACAGTAAGACAATATCATCCGCATGCTCAAGGTCGAGAAGTCCTTCTTCAGGCAACAGATTCACACCGCCATTACTTACATCCATCAGAGCTGTTTTCAGAATGTCATCGATGGCAAAGTTGAAGAGGAATGGTGAGATTGGGCAACTTTGTCTAACCTCACTGCTTGAATGGAACAATGGAGAGAGGTAGTTGTATGCCCTCACTCTGCCTGTGGTGTTTGTATATAGGGCCTTTAGGATGTTAATGAACTCAGGCACACCCCTCTTCAATAGACTATCCCAGATAACGGTCCTGTCCAACGAATGGAACACGGTTTCAAATCCAACTAAGACAGCAAATTCCCTCAAGACCGCAGGTACGCCCTGTCTGACGAGTGAGAACAAGTATGAAATTTAGGTTTAGGATATCTTGACAACTACCTCCATCCAATTATTAATTCAGTGTTAAATGAAAGATAATTCTTCCAACTCCTGTTTGCTCTTTCCTTTATTTTTCAATGTATATACCAACTATTTTCTCATTTCATTCCATTGTAATTATACAATTTATGTCCTTGAAAAACATATGCTACCATTCTATTGTTGCTATTAAATTTCACATTACATGGAAACTTAATTGACCTGTAATTAACCAATTAAAAATAATGAGGCTGAACTTTGTTTTGCTTCATTTATATTTAGCCCACTTTAAATTTACACAATATACTTACGGAATGTTATCGATTTTGTCTGATGTTCTTCTTCTACTTCACTTTTTATGTTATTTTCTTTTCAATATTGTTACATGATCGCATTGTTTTAAACTATTCATCTGGAAATTTTTTTACTTAATTAAGACAAATTTTCTCATCTATTTTCATCTAAACGAATTTGTTACAGTTTAATTAATGGTAGATTCGTTCGGCTGAATTATTTGTATGTTACATTAGACTTTATTTGGCCATTATGTTGGTACTTCTACTTCGTTAAGAGTGAAACAAGTAATTGTTTGATGCGACTACGTTGACTTTATGATGTTAAGCTCAACGAATGTAGTAACACCAGGGGATACAATTTTACGGTGGATAATGATCATAAATGATGTGTATTCAATTAGTTTTGAGTAGGTCCCGTATCTTGTCCTCACGAATAATCCTGAATTCTCTTCGCTGATACTTCATGCCGACTGGTTTAGGTTCCACTGCAAGAAGTTACATAGGTATTAAAAATTAGTCACCTGAGTGAAACTTTTCTTATATTTGGCTTATCATATATTTAATTTCTATAATTTACGAATTTTGTTTAGTTAACATCTTAAAGTCATGTGCTATAAGCAAGGGGGAACGTTTAAATTTTTTAATCCTATCAATGATTGTACTATTGTGGTGTATGCTACTTATGCTGATAGACATAAGTAGTGTGTAGCTGCAATCGGAAGTGGAATACCTGGCAGCAGAAAATCAAATAGATAAGAATAGAGATCGGAGAGGAATCAAAATAACAACAGAATTAGAGGAATAATGGAGTATGTAGAGGAAAACGCAAAGAAGCTGTACAATTGATGTATTTAATGTATGATTTTCGTATTTGACTGAGCCACCGTGCAAATTTGAATAGATTCACAATGTCCCAAGTAATTCTGTTATAATTTAACGTTGGCATTTAAGGTAGATATATGATAAGTCAACTGATCATTGTAACTTCTAAGTATCTTTCAAACAAATTATAAAAATACCAATGAAGGAACTCCAAGTATAAAATATATCAAGCTAGACAAAAGCAGTCTGTGGTTATGTATTTTATAGAGATCAGTTGAAGGTAGTTTTTGTCACTGACAAAGTGTAGTTCATAACCGTTGGAAACTAGAAATCACTGGACAACTCTTTCCTCAGATTACAGTATTCTTTTTCATCAATGCGTGTCCGAGAAGTCTCCTCCGAATTTGAAAGTTCTTGATTCTACCCATGACAGGGGTGTTTCCAATATAACCATGTTTTGTTCATGTTACATTTTCGTCT